TTTTTTTTTTTCCCCTTTGTTTTTTTTTTAAAAAAAAAAAAAAAAAAAAAAAAACCTTACAGCTCGACTATAGTTTTTAACTCTCCATCTAGAAGTGAATGTAGGGTCAGCCCGTGGTGTGGTTCTTAAAGTGACTGGAGCCCACATGGCTGCCTGCGGCTTGAGTGTTGGATCTGGTGACCTTCATATGCCGGGATGTGTGTGTGCATGCCCACACCCCAAAGAGGGAGAGAGGAAGGAGAGAAGGGAGAGAAGGGATTGCAGTGTGACTATCTCCATAGAGGCTGCTTTCCACTTCCCCTCTCAGTTGCTCTCTGGTGAGTTCTTATTCCCTCTGGGAAATTTTAAAAAATAGTTAATGTAAATGCTTCCTTTTTGTGGTCAGATGTCTGTCAACATAAATCTAAACACAGAGTGACCTGTGAGAAGCATGACCCAGCCAAGCATGGTGCTCAAGAGAAATGTTTATGGCATGAAGAACACGTGGCGTGTTTTTTGCCTGAGAAGGAAAAGGCAGCTTTGAACTGTTACCTTAGAGACCCAGATCCAGATGGTTCCTGTGTAGCTCTTACCTTTGTGGCCTTGTATCCTCTCACTGACTTTTGCTCCAAGGAGATCCCAAACAAGCAGTTCACCAGACTGACTTCCAGATAAAACAGAATTCCCATCCCAAATAAAGCACCTGCAAGAATGATTTAGAAATAATCACATCAGGCTGAAGGGAGGGGTAGCACACTGGCCAAAGTAAGCCCAAAGATGATGATTTTGGGCATGCTCAAAGCCGTCTTCAAGGTTACAGCAACCCGGGACCACACCTCTGGGGCTCCTCTGACGTCAGGGCAGAAATGCGCATCCCTGTTTGCACATCGATGACGCTGAGACACCCGTCTGCTCCCGCACTGAGGACATGGCGACTGTCTGCAACACAGGTGAGACAGACATGGTGGCTTCAGAATGGACTGTAGATCGGGGTCCCCAACCTCCAGGCCACAGACTGGTAACCAGCCTTAGTACAAAGTGATACTAATAAATATAACACACGTGAATTGCCCGCCATTCCCTGTCCTAGTCTGTGGGAAAATCGTCTTCCTCGGAACTCGGCCCTGGTGTCAAAAAGGTGGAGGAACACTGGTTTAGGTTATTCTGAGATTGTTTTGAATCTTGTGGCCTACTCACTGTGACTTTCTTTAAGCTCTTTGTACTTAAGCAATGACTATATTCTTGAAATGCTTTTGTTTCTGAGAGACTGGGACAAGGGGACCCTCTGGTAGGAGTTTATTTACTGCTTACATATTTATGTCTAATGAGCTGAGAAATGAAGAACATCCAGTCCTGTTTTCTGCTAGGTACAAAAGCACCTGAATCCTGGCATGAAACAGCCTTAGCTATAGGCTAAACCTCTTATTAGCAATTAGTAGTGTTTTTCCTTTTACATTTTATTATTTTAGAATTCCAACTTGGTATCAGCATATTAAAGAGGGTATTGCCTACCTGGGCTAAAAGCAGTATCACATACAGTCCCCGAATGGCATGGAATCTGGTGCAGTAAGGTGGCCGTAGTCAGGTCCCAGATGTTCACTGTGCCTTCTTTGGTGCCAGAAACCAACAGTGTGCTCGCTGCATTTAAACTGATCGTGTCTACCTAAGGAAGAAAGCCCACGCAAGTCCATTAGATTTACAGTCACTGGCTGTTGCCCTGGGTGGACTCCAGTACGTGGTCATGAGGAAGATAAAACTACTGTGCAGTGTGCTGGTGTAGAAATGGGGATGCATTTTACTGCCCTCCCATAGAATGCTCATTCATTCATTATTTTCTAATTTGCTGTAGGGTACGTGTGCTCACAGGAGAAAGAATGTGAGCAGCAAGCCACCAAGTCCAGATTTGAACCATGGTCGGCCAGTGCTAATTTATTTGAAAATACAAATAAGTTCTTCGGATGCTAGTAAACAGGGGAAAGGAAAGGCGACGTATTGCTATGGTAAGTAAAGTGCTGTTTTAAAAGAGAGTGAGACTGACAGCCTCGGAATAACTACGGGAATAAACAGTGAGGGGCCAACCTGCATGAAGCTCAGCCATCAGGACTGAGGGGCTCGTGGGTGCGGGGCTCCTCACTGAGTATTTCTCAACCTCCACTAATCTGGAGACCATGACGATCAGGCATCCATTCCACTTCAGAGAAAAGGCAGTACTTACTAACTACACTGGCATGCAGCGCTGGGACAGCCAGGAGAAGGAAGTATCCTGGGGCCCTGCCTGCGGGGCGTGTACACTTGGCCAGGCAAGACTGCAGCCACTGTCCCCGAGTGCTGACTCCTGGACGTCCAGTCCCTTCCTTCTTCCGGGTCAAAAAAACATGGACAAGGCGAGGTGCCATCTTGTTGCCCAGAGAGTTTAGGGAACTCAAATATTCCATGTCATGCTCAGAAATGGATACTTTCATTAATCTAGGTGGATGGTACTTAAGTCTGAAGATGGGCAAAGAAGCAAATTAGAGGGAAACGAAATAAAACCTAAATTGGGAAAATTAAAGGGCCAACCTAAAGAGCTGAAATTTAGCCTATTATCTCCTCTAATAAGAATTAAAAAACAGCAAAGGAACATAAAACTAAGAGCTTGCCTGCCCCTGGGCCTAAGCTCGGCTCTCTGCAGTTTGGGGGCTGGTACTCACACTGACATCATGTTCCAAATCAGCCAGCAGGTCAAATTGGTGCCGTTTGGTGCCTGGCATCTCTGCAGGAACGCCAGACCACACCTAGGGCAGAACCCACCACAGGTTATTTTCAATTATCTAAAGTAACATTTCTCACAAGTATAGGAAACTCTCTTGACCAACTTCCATTTAACATACTTGCCCATATGGATAAGCGAATACCCAGCCCTCCCTCTGCCCTGCCGAGGCCTGCACTTGCTTCCCACTAGCAAGAGCCCGCTTAGAGTCCATTGCTGGATTGTGTCTGTTTCCATCACTTGTGCTTTTTGTAGAACTTAGGGGATTTTTTTAAAAATTCAATTTATTATTGTTACTTTTTAAAATTTGCAGTAGAGCACATATGTTCACTGGAGAGGCAGAGGAAGAGAGAGAAAGCCATCAAGTCTGGGACTCAAACCACAGTCGATGATGTGGGGAGTCCAGCACCTTAACCACCAACCCCACGCTGGCTCGTAACTTATGGGATTTAATTGGTATGTGAACTAGGGATACGAGGGGGTCTTCAGCAACTTCATGGGAAATGTATACTATGAAAATCTAAATAAGTATTTCCATTTCTTTTTGCACCAGAATGAACTCAGACTTTAATTCCATCTTTCCACTAACTTTTTGAAGCCCCCTCAGTTGGAGTACATAAGCGCTGTTATGTTTTGAGAACACTTATTCATGTTTCAAGAAGACTGAAAAAGGAAGTCACTGAACCAGCAAGGGGCATGGTGGTTAAGGCGCTGGACCCCCACCTGCTGAAGTGGTTAAGTCCAGGACCTGGCATATGTGTGTGCATGCCCAAAATCCCAGGAGGAGAATGGAGAAGAGATTTCAATGTGGCCATCCTCCCTAGAAGGTTATTTCTCATTTTCCCTTTCTGTCTCCTTTTGTCTGTCTCTCTGGCAAGCACATAGGCCCTAGGAGAAAAACCGGAAAGAAAAAAATTTTAAAAAAGGAAGTCACTGGGAACAGCAGTTAGCATAATGGCTATGTCACTGGACTCCCATGTAGTCGACCACAGTTCGAGTCTTGGACCTGGCGGCTTAAACTCACACCATGCGTGTGTGTGTGTGTGTGTGTGTGTGTGTGCGTACCTAAGATCCTGAGAGGAGAATGGAGGAGAAGGGATTGCGGCATGGCCATCCCCTCTGGGGGGTCATTTGTCGCTTTCTGTCTCTCTTTCTCTGTCTTTCTGGTGAATGCAAGCAGAAACTTCCACAAAAAAAAAAAAAAGGAAAAAAAAAAGGAAGTCACCAAACTTATTAAAATTTAGATATAGGCAAGTAAATTTATTTGAAAGAATGGAGGAGAGAATTCTTGAAAGAATTCTCATGGCTGGGACCAGCAGTTAGCGTAATGGCTGTGTCGATAAGACTCCTACGTAATCGGCCGCGGTTTGCGTCCCGGACCTGGTGGCTTAAAACTCACGCCGGGCGCATGTGCGTGCGTGCCCAAGATCCTTAGAGGAGAATGGAGGAGAACAGATTGCGGTGTGGCCATCCCCCCTGGGGGTTGATTTCTCGCTTTCTGTCTCTCTCTCTCTCTCTGTCTGTCTGGCGAGCGGATGCGCCCTATAGCAAAAGACCTCTCCAAAAAAAAAAAAATTCTGGGAATCAGCAGTTAGCGTAATGGCTATGTCGCTGGACTCCCACATAGTCGACTGTGGTTCATGTCCCGGACCCGGTGGCTTAAAACTCACGCCGGCCACGTGTTGTGTGTGCCCAAGATCCCGAGAGGAGACCGGAGAAGGGATTGCGGCGTGGCCATTCCCCCTGGGGGGTGATTTCTCGCTTTCTGTCTCTCTCTCTCTGTCTGGCGAGTGCATTCGCCCTATAGTGAAAACTCTCCAAAAAATAAAAAATTCTCATGGCAACTGTTTTTACATAAATGCAAACTGGAAACTGAAAATGATGACTACTGCTATGGTTTATATAGGAAAGGCCAAAAAGAGTGGTCAATGAGTGAATATGCATGCACTTGCATGTTTTGAGTTTAAATAAAATGTAGTATTTTAGTGATTTCCTCACTTTAACCTGAAACTTTCTGAATAACTGCTCCATTAGTAGTTCCAACCACATCAGATAAGAAGGGCCGCTATTGTACGTTTCTGTATGAGTCTGCTCTTGAATGACTGATATCTAATTATTCACCCCCAACTGAATACACAGCATAGAAACAGTAATAACTCCCTGTTATATTTGGAGGTGCATACATTTTTTAAAAAATACAGTAACATTCAGTATCCTTAAATACCACTTACACATTTTGTGAAAAAGAGTTAAGTGATTGAGTACATTAACAATAGGTAGGTTAACAGTTCATAATATTTGTATGTCTAAACATTTTAAGTTAAAAATTATGTATTAACCTTCACCGTAGAGTCCCACGACGCAGAATATAGCCTGTTGTCATGCCAACAGATCTTGCTAACAGCGTCATGATGTCCCATTAACGTGTCTTGGCATCTTCCAAATGCTATAGAATAAAAATAGCTAAAAGATAACAAGAATGATTAAAACAGCATTCCAGCCTTATGTTAAGACTCTAAAACACATACTCAAGAAACATTGTGCGGCTTAATGCTTCTTTTACTGAGGCCCACTGGAATTACCAATTGCCATTCTCATGTTATTTAATGAAAATTTGAATTTAAAACTAGGAATTTCCAGGTCTGGCTCATCCATGTTTTCACCTCAATTTAAAACACGGAGAAAAGTAGATGCCATTGAAGAAGTGGTGACATTTAAATCATCGCCTTCACACCACATCATCTCCATTACTTGTTCTGTTTATGAAACCATTCTGTTTGTCCCTCACACCCACAGAGGCAGCTGTGCTGCACTAGAATGACAAAGGCATGTACACAGATACATACATGTTGTTATCCCATGAAGAACTTAGGACAGTGGCATCTCCTGGTAAAAGCAAACAGGATGATAATGCCTGAAATGCAAATGAGTCAACATTAACAAGTCGTAATGGTGGTAAACCCTAACGCAGTAGTACTATCTTAATGTTTCCCTAAAAAGTAATGCTCAAGTTCTCTTTACGGTGACTCTCCGCACACTAACCCAGGTTCTCAAGTAGCCAATTTCAGATGTGTGGGTTCCTGCCTCACGTAGGAAGGAATGTCCCCATGTGGCCGGTGTATTCGATCTTGCCTGACCACGTAAGGGTACTGATGGTCCTCATCGCCCAGGGCCAGTGGGAGTCTTATTAACACTCCAGGTTAGGAAACGCCTGACAATGAAAATGCACTCTGGATTACAGTTGTAAGTGGTAAGAAAAACTTCCAAAATTCTTATGAACTTTCTTTTCTTTTTTTTTTTTTTTTTCTGGAGAGATTTTCACTGTAGGGCGCGTGCGCTCGCCAGACAGACAGAGAGAGACATAGAGACAGAAAGCGAGAAATCACCCCCCAGGGGGGATGGTCACGCCGCAATCCCTTCTCCTCCATTCTCCTCTCGGGATCTTGGGCATGCACGCACACGCGCCCGGCGTGAGTTTTAAGCCACCGGGTCTGGGACATGAACCACGGTCGACTACGTGGGAGTCCAACGACATAGCCATTACGCTAACTGCTGGTTCCCGAAAATTCTTAAGGGAATTTCAAAATCTTCTGGGTTTCTATTAATTCAGAAGAATTGGTTTTATCATCTTAGGTATTTCACAACTCCTAAATGTATGTTATTTGAGTTTCATCTAAGCATTTAATGTTAGAACTTAAAAAGGGAAAAGATTTACTGAGAAGTCTACAGATGGTCTCTCTCATTTTTTTAGGCTAAAAATGAAATCACAATAATACAAGAAATAGATAACCTCAAAAAATTTTTAATTGAATTTAGAAGTAATCTGAGGGGTACCAGTAGGTGGCGTGGTGATTAAGGCACTGGATTTTTCACGTGACTGATCGTGGTTCAAGCCCTGGACCTGGGTGTGTGTATGTGCATGCCCAAAATCCTGACTGGAGAATGCGGGAGAAGGGAATACAAAGTGGCCATGCCTGTGGGAGGGTGATTTCTCACTTTCCCTCTCTCTGTCTCTCCAACAAGTACACATGCACTATGGCAAAAAAAAAAAATTATAATAATAAAAAAAGAAAAGAAAAGAAAAAAAGAAAAGAAAGAAAGGAAGTAATCTGAGGTATTCTATAAAAACCACACAGAAATAAAACTCAGTTCTTTTAGGACAAATGACAAACTACTATACAAATTTCTATCATAACACTGAAATGAACTTACCATATTTGAAAATGATATACTTCTTTGTAGCATTTTGGATTCTTTAGAAAACATCTTCAAGGTAGAATCTAATTCAATAATGAGAAAGCAAACACATAAGGAAGATTTCCTAAGCCATTACAGATGACAGAGATTGGTCATCCTTCTTGTACCTGGAGGCCAACAGGCAGATAATCCTACAGAGCACTCCGTGTAGACAGAACTAGATGACCTAAGGCCTGATCCAACACCCAGATCCTATTATCTTTAATTCCATGAAAGGAAATCAGTTTAAAACCAGCACAGACATGATACCCTTCTGACATTTCAGCATGCGTGAAAGACTTAATTCTAATAACTGATAGAAGCTAAAAGTTAAAGAGCAGGAAAACAGCAATTTTAATATTAAGATAGCAATTTAAATATTAAATATATCTTGGCAATAGAAGTTTAAAAAAAAAAAAAGCTCACTTTCAGTGTGATACCCTTGTACTGAATCGGTATTTACAGATGAGAACCACCAACTCTCTAAAGAATAATCAAGTTAAAATGTTCAAACTTAAATACCTTGTCTAATAAGGAAGCTCTAAAAGTGTACCAAAACAACCTAAAACAAACAAGACTCACAAATTATAGTTCTCTAATGTGCTGCAAGCCTTCCCTATTTGATACATAACAACCCATTTCCTACCTTGTAGATACAACACGAGACACGATAAAATGTCCAAATGAGCTTTAAATCATTTCTTCTTGTAGGAAAGCAAAATTCTATAGGCTAATTTTGGTAATACCTATACTCAGTGTGTGACCATGAGCCTAAATAAAACATTCTCCACCACTAGCCTTGAAAATAAACAGAATCAATACGCTATCATCTGAAATTTTCCCAGAGGGGGATAATCAGCTGGGATTGTTTTTGCAGCCTAATTCCGACTCGGTTAGACAATTCTGAGTGTTCACCACAAAGTCTATTTAAGCTTTTTAATTTGGTGTCCCCTACAGAAAACCGTCAGTCAGGTGTTTTCCTCAAGGTAAAAGATCCCTCCATGGATAAGAGGGAATTGTGTTAAAAGCTGCAGTGAGGACGCTTAGAGGTGGTGGTCTTGGGAGCCCAGTCCCCAAGCATGCTGAATTATCTAGGAAAAGATGTGCATGAGCCACACATACAAGTCAGGGATACAAACGGAAAATCTAAATGTGAAAAGAAGCAAATGGAAAATAAAGGCTTTTTAATTTTTTTTTTCTTAACTCTCCCCTTTACTGTGCAAATATCCCCACAAGGAAGGAACTTGATGGTCACTAAGCCTCAGGGGCTGGAAGCCTGGCCGCTCCTAGCACTCAGTACACAGAGCCATAGAAGCACAGTGAGCTAAGGATTTGCCAATCCAGCCAGAAGCACAGGCTTTGCTTAAGGACTGAGCTCCTGTGTGGTGCTAGAATGCTGGCAGACCCGGCAGGGGGCGATCCTGGCAGAGCTCCCTCACTTTCTATCAGAGCGCCACCTCAGTGACCCTGATGTGGCCCGGTGTGGTCAACTCTCACTGCATTTTCTGTGCTTTATGGGGAAGTCTGTTTTAAGAAATCTGAGTACCATTTTTTTTTGGGGGGGAGAGGCTTTTGCTATAGGGCGCATGCGCTTGCCAGGAAGAGAGAGAGAGAGAGACAGAGACAGAAAGCGAGAAATCACCCTCTGGGGAGGATGACCACGCCGCAATCCCTTCTCCTCCATTCTCCTCTCAGGATCTTGGGCACGCACACACACATGCCCGGCGTGAGTTTAAGCCACTGGGTCTGGGACTCAAACCGCGGTCGACTGTGGGAGTCCAGTGACATAGCCATTATGCTAACTGCTGGTTCCATAAATCTGAGTAGCATTTCAAAGACCTTAAGATAAAGATGCTATAGAGCAGTTTCCCCCAACCTTCCTGGCACTGGGGACCTGCCTTGTGGAAGACAATCCATGGATGCGGGTGAGGTGGGGTGGTGATGGGAGGTTGGAGCTGTGGCAGGGGGTCAGGACCAGGATGATCCAAGCATACCACATCTATCATGCACCCTATGTCACCCACTACCACGTTATAATATGCAATGAAAAAAAATCACACAACAATAGGGTTTGTGCTCCCGTGAGAATCCAGTACCATAGCTGACCTGACCGGAGGCAGAACCCAGGCGGTAACACGATCCGTGGGGAGCAGCTGCAAACACAGAGGGAGCCTCCCTTGCTCGCTGGCCACCCACCCCACTGTGTGCACTAGCACCGGTCTGTAGCTTGGCCCCCAGCAGGCCGGGGAGCAGCACTAGTCAATGGCCTGGAGGTTCGAGACCCGTTGTTCGTGACAAACCCAGATAATACAATCATAGTCATAACCCTGACTTCCTCTAAGTGTTCAGATGGAACATTGTTTCTTAACTTAATGGATAAAAAAGAATTTCCTGTGATGATGATTAAAGAACAAGTAGCTTCATTAAAACAGCTCCGGGGCCCAGCCATCGTAGCCTAAGTGGTATAGCACTGCTATACGAGGCTGGGGCCACATGGGAGGCCCGGGTCTGCTTCCCAGACCAACCCGAACATGGCCAGGCACAGGGGTACACCTATAAACTTAGCTAAGTGGGAGGCCAGGGTGGAGGGTCTCAACAGCAAGACTGTCACAAATAGCTCTCTCTCTTCTGCCAGACTCACTCTCACATGCATACATTAAAAACAAATTAAAAACAAACAAAAAACAGCTACAAACTTTGTCAAACTGTCATCTTACTAAACCAGGACAGCTAAGATAATTACCCTTTTTATTCTTTTTTTTATTTTATCATTGTTTTCAATTGCCAGAGGGCACGTGTGCACCAAAGATTAAAAAGGAGAAAGTACTCCTCAGTGGGGAAGGGTCACACAGCAATCCCTTCTCCAGCTCTCCATCCTACTGAGACTGTAGAAAGACATGCATGCACGACCAGCATGTAAGATACTGCTCTTCTGGGAACCAGCAGTTAGCATAATGACTATGTCGCTGGACTCCCTCGTAGTAGACCGTGGTTCGCGTCCTGGACCTGGTGGCTTAAAACTCACGCCAGGCGCGTGTGTGTGCATGCCCAAGATCCCGAGAGGAGAATGGAGGAGACGGGATTGCGGAGTGACCATCCCCCTGGGGGGTGATTTCTCGCTTTCTGTCTCTATGTCACTCTCTGTCCGTCTGGCGAGCGCATGCGCCCTATAGCAAAAACCTCTCCAAAAAAAAAAAAAGATACTGCTCTTCTTACATCCACACCTTCCAGAGCACCAACCCAGCACTCTGAACCTAAGAGGGACAAGACATACTTTAATTATGTATTGTGCACACCACCAAGGGAAGCAATGGTGTGTACAGTAAAAGAAGTATTTTGCCTAGTTTTAACCTTATTTTATTTATTTTAATTTAACCAGAGAGGGACAGGGTGAGAGAGAGAGAGAGAGCAAACTACCAGGTCTGGGACTCGAACCGTGGTCAGCCACATGGGAATCCAGCGCCCTTAACCACCACATCACCTGCCACCCCACCTAGTTTTATGTTTTTGATTTTTAAGATTAAGATAGCTAAATTATAATGTACTATTAAGATATAGCTGTCAGTCATATCAACCAAGTATTTCAGGGATTTTTTAAAATTTTGATATAAGAAGGACTTTAATAAGATATCAATTCAATTTTGAGCTAAATCCTACCAAAAAAAAAAATTCCAAAGAAATATACCCTGAACGACAACACTAAAAGGCTAACAGCAAATCTGCATTTCCACGTGCGTACACATCAACGCACTCACATCACACCATGGCTGACACAGCCCTGGCTCATCTCCCACCGCCCTCCATGTGTAGCCTCCTCTAAAGCAGTCCTGGCAGGACGAAAAGGCCACGACCCAGCAAGGCCACGGGAAAAAGCCCTTTCTGTCCTATGCCCTCCTTTTGGGAAACTTCATCAGCAACAGAAAGGCGCTGCATTTTGTCGTTGGCACGTAACGATGGAATTTCACATAATCTTCCACTCGTGAATTCCTTAGTTCGTTTCATGCGGAGGCGCGGCACACACAGTACAGTCCCTGCCCGAAAGCCTAGAGACTGGGACGCCTTGGGATTCTGACTAAACCTCTCTTCAGGTGGGAAAGCTTACCTTGCGACGTTGTAAAGACTGAAGAGCCGTTGCAAGAGACTGCGATCCCAGTGACGGCCCTGTTCAAAAGCAAATTTTGTAATTAACTATCGAGCATGTGTTAGGACGCCTGCTCTGTCTCGAGTCCTCGGTCTCATTTTACCAATCCCTTCATGTTTTCCTACATGCCAGTCAGCTGGATGTGCCCACACACCCATGCGTTACCAAGTCATCGCTTGGCCATGGTGAACTTTGCACTGGCTGTACCCTTCGGCTAGAAGACATCTCCACTCTTAATTTCTCTCGTGGCCAAATTGAATGTTCTCTATAATTCTGACAATTTCTGACTGTTGGGAAGCTTGTTCAACCCCACCTTATTTGACTATCACCAAAATAACTGAAATCCGATCACTTCACTTGCTTTGTTACTGAGTCTCAGGTACTTAGCATCTATTAGGTGGTGATACGATTGTCTGCTTCTAGCATGTTCTCCTAAAGTTTCACTCGTGTCTTCCCTGCCTTGCATTGCAGGGTCCTTTCTACATGCCATTTAGAGAAGTTGATAAAGGGAATGCTGTTACTAGGACAGTGAAATACTTGTCTCTTTTTAGGGGGTTCTGAGCCCTGATTCTAAGGTAGATCAGCACATTCAGGTCCACCAGAAGCCCACAGTGTCCGTGTCACCAAAATGTCAGGCAGGCTGCTGATGGCCTTGGTGCAGGACAGGGGACCTAGTCTCGGACTTGGGTTTTCTTTCTGTAGCCAGATGGACCAGGAGAGATCAGGGCTTCTCAACCTTCCTACCAGAGTGGATGGATGTGCTCAATGACAGAGAACAGGAACATCCCGTCCCGTCTGGGCCCAACAGCAAGCCCGGGTCCTCTGAAGTGCAGGCATCATTTTTAACATTAACATGAATTTCCCATGTTCTCTTTTTCTCTCTCTAAATATATATACAAACACACATATGTATGTGTGTGTGTGTGTGTGTGTGTGTGTGTGTCTGTATCCATGTTTGTTATCTTTTTTTTAATTGCCAGAGCAGCTGCACTAGCCAGAGAGACAGGAAGAGGGAAAATGCTCCCCAGTTGGGTGTGCTCACGCTCATCCCTTTCCCGCCATTTCCCATCTTGTCAGGATTTGGGGAATGCATGCATGCCTGACTGGTTTCTGAAGCTGCCAGGACTGGATGTGAGCACAGTCAGCAATGCGGGATGTGGATCCCTTAACCACTAGCTACAGGGCTGACCCTTGTTATAATTTTTTTTTTGAGAGGGATTGCGGCCATGCTGCAATCCTTTCTCCTCCATTCTCTTCTCGGGATCTTGGGCATGCATGCACACGTGCCCGGCATGAGTTTTAAGCCACCGGGTCTGGGGTGCGAACCGCGGTCGACTACATGGGAGTCCAGCGACATAGCCATTACGCTAACTGGTGGTCCCGTTATGATTTTTTTTAAAGGTGCACTTCCTCTGACGTTCTCAGTAAATTCAACATTTTAGGAGGACACACTATACTCCTCCCATCACTACACCACCAAGATTTGAGGGGTCGGGTACCCCAGTTTGAGAGGCACAAAACCACTGCAAAGTCCATCTCGCACTCCGGGATCACAAAATGCTGAAATGTCAGCCTGGTCGGCCAACCCAAATCATTTTGTGCCAAACTTCCTCTTTCTACATTGACCTCAAGTGGCGGATCATTGTAGGTATTTGGGAAGGACAAAAACAACAACAAGGACACTGGAAGGAAACTTTCTTCCTGGATTTGGCTTAGACTGGAACTTGTGCGAGGACTACCGGCGGCTGAAAGGAAGCACAGAGACATCTTACTCTTTGTGGATTTTATAGTGCTCGTGTAACTGCAGTTTGGTGATGTTGTTCCAGGCCAGTGTTTTGCTTTCTTCCGTCAGGTCTTCGAAGGACTCTTCACCTGGAGAAACTACAGTGAGTTAAGTGAGTCACCTCCAGTGCTAACAGACAACAGCAGCAGATG